ATGCATTTTTAGTTAAAATTATACGAAGCCATGCTGGCAACTTGTGAAGCATTACAGTCAGTATACGCCAGCTGTCATATATGTGTCATAAATAGACATTATTATTTATAACAGATAAACGCAATATTTTTGGTGGTAATAACAGCCTCTTTTCTCATGAAAATGTTTTGTTTAGCACCCATCTTGCTTATTTTCACTGTATATTTGTAGGGAGTTATGATGTTTCTACAGTTTGCTCACTTTAATATTTTGAAACAAAGAAACCAAATAATGTGATGCAGAGCTAGAGTTACAGCTAGAGAACAGCTATTCAGTTCTCAAGCATGTGTATGTAGATTTCATAGCATTTATAAACTTCTTTTATGATCAGTGGCAAAAAAAATAAATAATTTGATTGATACATTTTAGTTTTGCTCTTAAATTTAAAACAGTGATCAACACCACACTCACAGTGCAAGCCATGCCGCTCTGGCATAATTTTTAAACAGGAAACGAAAAAAGGTAAAAGGTTTACTTTTAATAAAGTAACTCTGTTATGTTACTCTTTAGTCTTTACACAACCGTGAACTGTGTTTAGTTTCAAAACATCAACATTGACCTGGAAGGAAATTGGGGGATTTGGGGGGCACTATAACTAAATCAGGAAGGGTAAATTTAAGGTAAGCAAAAAGTGAATGGGAAAAAACACTTGAATGTTACACAGGAAGTCTACGAGACGTTTTCGTCACAATGACATTATTGTGTGAACCATACATAGACTACTGTGGGCTGTAGGCTATGCCAAAGTAAAGAAATGCTACTCCAGTCCTGGTTTATTAGTTTATTACCTCAGATTCAGCAGAGCTAACCTGATCACTCCCTTCCAACTTCTGCTTAATTACAGTTTATGTTGAGCACTATAACACCAGAGCAGTCAGTCCAACTACCAATCACAAATAGAGCATATTGGCTTCAACAGTACTATACAGGGTGCACCTGTGACTGACAGGTGAATATGCCGTGACTCTTTATAACTGCAGTATGAGCATGTAGTCTTCATCTAGGAAGCTATAATGTTAATAGTATGATAGTTTCTAATTTTCTAAGCTACACTAACCTGTAAAATATTATTTTGAACATAACTTGATGCCTATGGATTACTTGATTAGCTGTAAATCATGCTGCAACACTAGATGCCCCAAGAGATAAGACAAAATATGCACACTGTGGAGGAGGATTTTTCCAAATGGTACAAGTTCAAGTCCGACCCTCCAACTCCTACCCAGACGGTCCTCCTCCTTTTTTCCTGTCTGATGGGCTCAGGTAAAAGAGCACTGTAGACTCCACTGACATGAACCGATACACCCGCTGAGCCCGTCTGTAAGCATCTCTCTCTAGGTTTCTAACCTTTGTCAGACCGATGCCCTCGTCTGTAATGACAGGCAACCTTTACTCAGGACAGAACCAGGAAGACAGGGGAAAGAGGTGCATATGTGTCTGTAAAGGGAAGAGAATCAGACAGTAAAAACAACAAGAAAAAGTGAATAGAACAAAGTGATTGGCAGGATGAGAGAAACGGGCAGAGATAGGGCTGCAGACAGAGAGGGGAGCAGAGTGAAAAAGAGACAAATGGGGAGAAAGACAGTGGTAAAGACAGAAAGAAGTGAGAAAAATACATGCAGTATTAAAGTAGAGATATAAAGAAAATTATGATGACAAGTGGTGAGAGTATTCAAGACAATAACACAGAGGAAGAGAATGAAAAAGTCTCAGTATATCATCACAGCTTGTATCTGAATCAGCCACATAAAACCTTGTAATCAAAACATTCTCCAGCTGACCTTTAACATAACATTTCTGACAAGCATGAGAGCTCCTCTTATAAAACAGTAACACCAGTAGAGTTTTTGTACTAGTTAATTTCCTCATCTTCTCTTCTCTTGCATTTAGAATTTCAACCACCCTTCCCTAATAAACGAAGGTTCTTCCCCCAGCTTTCATGGAGGCTGACATGGTTATAAACGAGGTTTGGAATTTAGCGAAGAACTTTGAAAACCACAACACAACTTTACGGCAGCAAAGATAAGGCTAGTGGGAGTCATTTAGAAACCTGAGAAGAATAAAAGAAGAAGGAAAAGTTACTGCTGGACCAGGAATATGAATGAGCAGCTTACTAAAGGAGAAAGAAAATACACAATATGAATATAGCACATTTCTTGTGGTCAGAAAAATCAGTTTGAGTCGGAGAGTGTGCGATATACCTTTTAATCTTTATAAACTCTACAGTCTGAAAATGAATCTGAGGACCCAGCCTTTCCATATTTACCCGTTTGCAGTGAATGTGTATTTGCAGTGCTTCATACTATGCATATTTACTCTGAGTCTGAATATATCAGGCAGCCAGTTAACATTCAAGTTATGCTTTGTCCTCCACAAACCTTCCTTCGGTTTGAAATTACTTTTTTAAATGCAGAGACAAAATGACGTGCTGACTAAATCTATATATCTCTCTTGTCTATCTGTCTGTCTGTCTGTCTGTCTGTCTGTCCATCTAGTGTGTAAGGAAGCCAAGGCTGACCTGGCATTCCTGGTAGACGGTTCCTGGTCCATCGGAGACGATAACTTCATGAAGATAACACGTTTCCTCTACAGCACCATGGGATCGCTGGATCTAATTGGACCAGACGGCACCCAGGTCAGTCATGTGATACCCACACCTAAGTCATTGTACCTCAGGGAGGTTGTCAGTAATGAACAGGTATTACTTCTATGTTTGTATCTTCGAGGTCTGAATAATGTTGCGTCTCCTTTGAGTGCTGATATTCACATTCTTGTGTCTAGTCTAAAGATCCGTGTCTAGTTAAAAGTGCTGTATTTTGTACAGTTTGTACAGTGTCATAAGTTAACTAGCCGAAGTGCAAATGTGCCTAAGGCTTTTTATTTTTGCTCACTGGCTTTGTAATTTATTTTCCTTGTTACAACATTTTCCTTCTGAAAAATGGCGTGCTCATGGGAAATGGAATGTAAAGCAGACACCGGGGATCGAGCCAAAAGCATCCACACTGAAAACCATAAAAATGACGATATAAAGAAATTACATATCATAGTGTAATCTGTGGGAAGAACCCATTCACCGAAGTGAGAATTTTGCGGGGAAAAAAAAATATTTGCATATAATAATCCCCCCCAGAAAAGAAATATTATATACCCCTGCGGATTCTGCAGGCAGGGTTTTGTAATATTTCTAGGAGCTGTGTTTTGCAAGCACAGCACAGAGTAAAACTCACATACATCCAACAACCCAATTCCCCTCAACTCTTCCAACCAACTGCCCCATCTTTTATACGCTGCATCCCGTCTCACCTCTCACTTCTCTGCAAAAGAAAGAAAAGGAAACAAAATTGCTTAATGTCCTTGCACATCTGTCTATAACTAGACTTTATAAAACTAGACTCATTCAGTGGATAATGAGATGATGGAATAATGGGGACAGGATGCTGTACATCCAGAATAAAAGGATGGAGAGTGATTTATCTGCAGCTTGCTTTCTGTATACTGGCTTTTTCTCCTTTCTTTGTTACACTCTCATTGTTGCATTTCA